ACCGGTTCTCAAACGTAAACTGCTGGATTGTTCCTTCTGGATCGGAAATAAATGCCCCAGATGGAGAAATTCATGCATCTTGGAGTCGTGTAAGATGGAGCAGGAAACAAGTCAAGGGATCAGAGCCTTGTCTGCAGTAATTAGGGCTGTCATTCTCCTATCTGATATGGAAGCACCATCCGTAGTGTACTTCTGGGTCGCACGGATCACCATTGTTTATGAATAAAAACTGTCTTAATTTACTTAGAATAGTACATGCTCTATCTCCACCGATCTTCATGTAGCTAATTTACACCACTCATATTTCCGTTACAAATCATTGGTTAAGATGATATGCAATGCATTAGACCTGACCCCCAGCCTGGACTGAATGAGAAAAACCCTGCAAGATACAGAATGAATTATTTCCATGGTGAAACAGCACCGCTCAGTGGTGAAGCTGCATATCATTTTAACCAATGATGTAAATATATCAATGATTTTAACGGAAATACGAGTGGCGTAAATGAGCAACATGAAAATTGACGGAGATAGAGCACATACTTTTCTAAGTAAATTAAGACAATTCATATTCATAAAGGGAATTCTACTAGTACATTTTCCTTAATCTAGCATATTCAACGGCGATCCGTGCAACCTGGAAGTATTCCTTTTAGCGCATGGTCAAATGAGCTATACTATGGATCGGGTTTCGTAACAGATTGGGGAATGACAAGGGCGTTGCTTTGGTTGGTCTTGGTGAAGAAATAATTGAGTTGAAAGGCAAAGCTCTAGATGTACTGGGCTGTCTTTGTTTCCCCCCCCCCCCCCCCCCGATCATGAATTAAAGATTGTGACTGAAAGGACGAGATGTTGGGCACAAGCAGCTTAAAGGAGCTTCCTTTGCAGAGGCGCTGGGCTCAGCTTTAAAAGGAGGAACTCCATCTGCTAGGGTGGAGCTTGAAGTAGAGCAGTTACTTTTCATTCATCCATACTGAACCACCTCAACTCCGTTCAATCTGAAAACGGGCCTTCTGCAGTTCCAGACATTTTGCTTTCCATCCAGGAACTTTGTCAATTTAAAAAGTGTAGCCATGACACTGACTTTCAACAGACTCAGCTGTGCAGATAACGCTACAGGAATCATCGTGTCGGCTACACTCCTAGATGGACGAAACAAGAACTGGATACCTTGAATGGTAGTTTATCGAGCAGATACTTTAGTCTCTCTGTCAACAGCAAATACCTAGCTGTTGACAGGTTAAGTTTACGTCCAGAAATTTGACCAAGTGCGTGTCGGACTGAGCGTGTTGTGGTGATCGAGCCTGACAGGTCAAACAGGGTAACTGAAGGTCCACCGCAAACATTCACTGTTACTAGTTCTGCTGGATCTATCAGGATCAGAGGCTCTGTTACATTGGCAAAGAATATAAGACTTAATGGGTGTATCCGCCTTGTAGAGTGATGTAAACAAAAATTTTACACGTTTGTCATTTGTTCTGCTCTGCTTGAGGGGCTGCATATAATCATCTTACTTATGAGATAAATTTATCGCCAAATCCAAACTTCCCAAACCGATAATCCCACCCTGCTCTGTCAGACTTTGTGGAGGGTTGTGAACTACATTAAATTCTCTCTGGATAATAAACATGAGTGTGCTTTGCAGATAATCTCTGCTTGATTTAGAGATATCTGAAGCTAAAACTGCTTGAAAGTGCCTGGCCAAAAACGTAGTCAATAATTTGAAGTCAGTCTCTTACAAATCATATTAACAAACCTCATTTCTCCACTTGATTGAGTTTTATGTATACAGCGTCAATTTACAACAAATGTTGTCTCATGGGCTGTGGGAGGGGGAGTGGTGGCACAGAGGTTAGAGAAGGTGGGCCTGTGATTGTTCGGTTGCTGGTTCGACCTCCTTGACCAACATCATCAAAATTGGGTGGGAAAGGTGAAGCACCCACATGTGCCTCCACCTTCATTTGCCCCATTCTGGGTCCTTGAGCAAGAACCTTAACCCCCACCATCTGCTCTCCCGGGCACCCTAGATAGCAGCTCTCTGCTTCACACAGAGGCTGTGGTACCTCGGTGGTCTGTGGTTGCGTCAGGAAGGACATCTGGCAGAAAAACAGTAGCCATGTCTTTGTGCGAGTTATTTCTCTGTGGTGACCCCTGGGGAAGGGAGCAGCCGAAAGAAGAAAAAAGTTTATAAATATAATATAGTGGTATTGTAGTGTGTCAAGGACAGCTTTGCTGTACCTTCACTACTAATTATTTAAATATAACGGGTTCTTTCTTTTTCGAGTTAAATTAATGCCATGTGACCGAGGTAACATTATTGTTTAATCAGTGACAAGAGACGTTAATTTTCCTTTGACCCATCAGAATAAATGTGGTCATTTATTTAACAGAATCAAAATTTAACATCAAAACATGTACACTTGATTAGCTGATCTGGTTCTGATTAATAAAACTTGGCACGCTTTACTAACGACAACAAGACATTTCTGAAGGCATCTAGATTACTGGCAAAGTAGAAGAGTTTAAAGGAAGGAGTTTAGAGGTTTCAAGAAGAGATGGATGGAGAGAGGTGTATGTTTGGATTGACCAGAATGGGCACGCTTCTTTCAATCACCAGCTCAAACCTCTGGTACACTTAGCGAGTGACGACTCGTTACCTTCGCAGGAGATGAATCAGCTCCGGTATCGGGTCCATTTCAACGCTACCTTCCAGCGTCTCCGGTAAGAGCGGCTGGTCATCGTCAGAAGTCGTGTCGATTTACTCCATTCAACAAACAGGCTCAGCTCCCTTCGAGGTTGTAGGCGTTACGCCCGGGTGGATTCACAGCAAGTCGCTGTGACTCCGTCAGAGATCCCACTCAGGAGTGGAAGACTCCAGAAGGCTTGAGAAGACTCCATCAAAGACTGAGTTCAACTCAGATCCAAGACTTCAGAAGAACTCAGAAGAACTTGAGAAGACGGAGAAGACTCCATAGTTACAGGAAGCGTGGACTTTTAAAAGAGTCCTCACTTCTGGTCACTTAATACTTCCTGATTGGTTGAAACAACCAACAGGGGGTGGTTCTAGTGATGTCAGAGGGTTATTAAAAGTCAACAGAGGGTTCAGGAATGTTTAGGAACGTTTAGTACTGACAGAGATGTTATGGCGAAGTGAGACGATGCAGATGCCAGTGTTTCTCTTTTTACCGTCTGCTAGGTTTAAAAACAACACAGCCTGTTCTAATAACTTCTGTTCTGACTGTCTCTGACTTTTGACCGACATCACTACTTCTCCTTTAGACAGAAAATCAAAATGCATAATTACTTTGTAAATAGACATTTAACTTGATTTCTAATTTAAATGAGGTTTAAAAAAATCATTAATACTGTTTCACAGTTGATTTAAAATGAGTGGTTCACTTCAACATTTAGAAATGGTATGAACTAAACACACTTTGATTATCAAGATATTGTAAAATAGTAATGATAATAAAAAAGAAGAGTGTTCTTTCAATTGATTACTTCAGGATACAATTAGAAAGTCTCTGGATGAGCTAATTTGTATTTCTGGATTCAAATTAATGAAATAACAGTTCCTGTCCCATGAAGGTCTTCAGAGGCAGGTTTTGGTTGGAGGTCGAGTTCACTACAGTATGTACAATGTGAATACTGCAGTATAATGTGAATAATGTAGTACAATCAAATCAAGAGGAGAGATTGGTGGGGTGGGGGTGGGAGTGCTGACTGAGTTAAGTAACGAGCTCAGGGCAGTGGTGTAGGGCAGCAGACTTGGGACCAGAAAGTTGCATGTTCAACTCCCTTCCATGCCCACATATCGTGTTGTCTTGGAGCAAGACACCTAATCCCTAATTGTTCCCCGGGTGCTGACATAGCTGCCCGCTCCACCTGGGTGTATCTCATGTGTGATGGGTTTAATGCAGAGAACTAATTTCATCATTGTATAGAAACATACAACGATGACAACACATAGCACTTCTTCTTCTTGTTCTTTTTGTTCTTCTTCTTGTTCTTCTACAGTCAGTACTGTAAGTGCGTGTGATGCCTCACTACTTTGCTTTTTGTTATGAACTTTTCCGTCCACAGCGAGCTCAACAACAATCGCTTTGAGGTGAGCCATGTTCACAAAGTGGAGTGTGTGGTGCCGTGGCTCAACGACACGCTGGTCTTCTTCACCATCTCCCTGCAGCTCTGTCAGCAGCTCAAGGACAAGGTGGGAGTCAGAACACCACAGTTCACCTTGAAGGGAACGTTTTAAATAAGATCTTACCTCTTGTGAACAGCTCTTTGAACAACCCCAGCTGTGATTGGACAGTTTGCATGTTTCTATATAAATGAACCTAAACTTTGTTCCTTTCCCTCCAGATTTCTGTCTTTTCCAGTTTCTGGAGCTACAGACCTTTCTGATCCTCACCCAGTCCGTCCTCTGATGGGTCCAAACTGAAGTAACCACTGAAGTCTAAGGGATTTCCTGGAAAGCTTTTATTTTTGTATGTATTTCTGCTGCAGTTAATTAGCCTGAAGTGTTGCACGATGATCCAGAAGAGGCGGTCAGAGCTACATCTTTATGTTTGTGTTGCACCAGCTGACTTGACATCTCACAGTCCTGACTTGAACTTCTCGTAAATTAATGTGATTTATTTTTTTTAAGTACTTTAGTATTTTTCAGGTTCAAACGTATCATTCATCATGTGGAACACTATTTTTTTGCACTCGGGGTGAAACTCGATCACCAGGGAAACACTCACAGCCCTTTTGACTGAGCTCATTGGTTGCACAGGTCTTCACTGTCCTCCTGACACTTCGTTCATGCCTCCTGCAGCTTTGGATCGTGATGTTTTAAACAAGCTACTTTAGATGTTCTTTGACACCAGATGACCTGTAGAGCCATGCTGGCTCAACAAATCACGGTATAACAACTCTGTTAGGGGGAGATGTATGAAGACGAAGTGAAAGCTCGGTGATGAACATAGCTCTGCACCAGGGAGGTTTACAGGTGAAGCTCATATCTCACAGGGCTGCCACTGTCGGACGCACAGAATCACAAGACAATTGGTGACCAAGGCCATGTTTTGAGCTGCTTTTGTTAGGTTTTTTTTTTTTGTTTGTTTTTTTGCAGCTTTTTTTCTGCACAGTTTGAAAAACTGTATTCTAGGCTGCACACATTATTTTGTTGTCCACCTCCACCCCCATCGTTTTCATCCTTTCACCCCAGGGTTATGATTTAATCCACCGAAGCTCAATTTAAGAAATGGACAGAAGTGGACCAGTTTTTATACACCCATGGATGAATCACCATAAAACATTCCTTACTGTGACTGGAGGAAACGGGAAGTACGTCTCCTGTTTCAAACACATACAGAGGCTCAGGTTTGCACGGTGACCTCAGCTGTAGTCAGGCACATGATGCTCTGATCACCAGGAGAGGGACAGTTGGCTGAAACTGGAGCTCTGGTTTTACCCTGGTTGGCCTCTTTCTTAGCTCCACCATGTTAGTACCAGGTTGGACCTCCTTTTGCCTCCAGAACTGATTCAAGAAGGTGTTGGAAACATTCCTGAGATTTGGGTCCATGTTAACACATTGGTGAGATCTGGGTAGACCCGATTAATCTGCCCACAATGACCAGGTATGAAGATGAAGGGGCAGCAGCTTCCAGATCCCACTCACACTTTGTATGTATATTTTCTTCTAATACGTGGTGATTTAAGTTTCTGAATGAAAACTACGTATTGGCCAGAATTGATAAATGGGTGTTTTCTGTCAGCTGCTGTGAGATCTAGAGTGTTGACATCAGTGAACCAGGACCAGATGAGGTTTTGGTCCTGTTGTCCAGTGTTTGTGGCCCTCCCTGGACTGTGTCCTCAGATTCCTGTTCTGCTGACAGGAGTGTCTCCCTGCGGGGTCTCCTGCTGCTGGAGTCCATCGACTTCAGGTTGGATGTCTTGTAGGTTTGGAGATGCTTCTTGGAGCTACGGTGGCCTTTCTGCCATCTTGGACCAGCCTCCTGTACAACAAGATCATCTTATCCACACTTGTGTGTCTCTGGAGATTTTGTCTTTCAAAACAATCTTTTTAAAGCCTTGAGATGGTTGTGTGTAAAAATCTTAGTAGCTCATCAGTTTCTGAAATACTTCAGACTAGAGGTGAACCACTACAAGTTTTTTTTCTCTGTGCGATGCTAATCTTTAGGTAACAGGTCAGCCATGGCAGATGTAAAACACTGATTAAATATAATAAAAATTAAACTCAACCAGTATATCTAGAGTAAGCTGCTGCCTTAACATATTTTTCCTACTTGATAATGGATTTAGGAAACAGGGATGGCTGGTGGACAGTTTTTAGAAATGGACGATTTCAAATCCATTGGTCTGTTTCTAACTGAAACCAGCCCATTTGGCGCAAAGAACCGCATTCTTCCCCATTATGGTGCCCAGTTTGAACTTCAGCGAGTTGTCTTCACCACATCCAGACAGCTAAAGGCATTGCGTTTTTAAGAGAATCAGCCTAATAAAGTGGCCTGTGTGTGTGGTTCTGTTGGATGAGCAGGTCGTTATGAGGCATTCACATCCTTCCATCTCTGAATCAAATATCCAACAGGAGCTGTTTGACAAATCAAATCCCACGGTTCAGCAGCAGGAAAACACCCAGCACTGTTGTCTTTTCCCTTGGTGGATTGGTATCACCATCCTTGTGTTAAACTCTTTGATAAGCTGTCCAGATGACCTGACTGAAAAATGTTGGATTGTATACCTGGATTATTGAGCATGGATTTTGTTCTTTTATAAGCTATTCGTCTTGTCTTTTGGTGTTTTTTTTGTTTTTGTTTTTGCTTGTGTTTGTATTTGTATTTATTAAGCATCCATGTTGGTTTGATTATTTGTGAACTAAACATTAATCCAGTCGTGAACAAATGGTTTCATTCCAGTAAGTGTTAATGTTTAAAAGGCTGCCTGTAACAGAAAATGTGGAAATGACTTCTCTGTGCAATAAAGTTACAAATTAACCTGTTGAGTGGTTTTTTCTTCTTGTTTACACACACTCCGGATCTGAAATACTATATATATATTTTATCAAGTCCTTTTGGACTTTACTCCCAGCACACACACACACACACACACACACACAAAAACAAAAACAAAACAAAAAAAAAACCTCTCCCACACCAGATCATCTACACAGACACAAACACATCAGACAGGCATTGAAGCTGCCAAGTTTCCCAAAACCTCTCAACAGAACCGAAACATTTCAGCACAAAAAAAAAAATGTCCAGATGACTCGACTGAAAAATGTTGAATTGTATACCTGGATTATTGAGCATGGACTTTGTTGCTCTCAACAGAACCTTTCAGGGTATATGTAATCTTTTTTAAATTAATATGACACATAACTTCTCTTATCCAGTGTTCATATGCCGGGGAATGTGGTTCCCTCCATCTGCATAAAATAAGTCTCCTGGCCAGAAGAGAGCCAAAAGTGATCTTATTCCTTTCACACTTGCTGAAGGATGCATCCACAGGGACTGCCCCAAATAGTGAGATGAATGGTGATGGGTGTACAGTTTTCTCACATATCACAGAGAAGGTGTCAAAAATAGATTGCCAAAAGGTCCACAGTTTGGGACAGGTCCAGAATGTATGCAGGAGTGTAGCTTGAGTTTGTTTACAATGATTACATGCGGGGTCCAGGTCAGCTTTGATCTTGGATAGCTTGTCTTTGGACCAGTGCAGCCTGTGCACTACCTTCAATTTAATTACAGCTTGCTTTACATACAGGGCTTTAGAAATAATTGTTCTACATATATGGCCCTCTTGCATCTTAGAGAAAAGATTTAAACTGCTTTTGAGAAAAATTAATATGCTCTAGGAATTTTCTTGGACTTCTCATAATCCACAGTGTCAAAAGCTTTTGATATCTTATTTTTAAAACCATAACAAGACATTTTTGATAAGGTTCTGAAATGGGCTGAAAATTATTTGCACAACAGAGAGCAAATTGTAATTTTTAATGTTAAATTGTCACAGCGGGATGTCCTAAAATGTGGAGTTCCACAAGGATCCATTTTGGGTCCATTATTGTTTCTCATATAAATTAAGGATCTACCAAAAGCATCTGGTATCATCAGCAAATAAGATAGGTGTCAGAATATTAGTCTTTTTGTTGCTGATGGTAACTTTGACTCACTTATTGATAAGGCAAATTATGGGCTCATTCACTTTGCTCAGTGGTTTCAGTTAAATAGACTATCACTTAAAGTAAAAAAAAAAATCTAATTTTAGCTTAAGAATAAGAATAAAAATTACAATCCAGAAAAAAAACAAAATTTATATTAATAACAATTTACTTTCTCATGTTTCTTCAACAAAGTTTTTAGGTGTCTATATTGATGAGAAACTTTGTTTTAAGAATCACTGTGAAACGGTGTATAAGAAGATTTCAAAATCGTTGGGTATTATAAAAAAGGTTAAACCATATTTAAAAACAAGTACTTTATTGACTTTGTACAATAGTTTAATTTATCCTTATATTTCTTACTGTAATTTAATTTGGGCAAGTACCTCTCCTTACTTGCAGTCAATCCATAAATTTCAAAAATGTTTTGTAAGAATTGTCACTAATTCTCCGTATTTAGCTCCATCCACACCTCTCTTTAAAAAAATTATAACTTTATACATCAGGATTCCTGTTGGAATACATAGAAATTCTTATAATCTATGATGTGAATAAGTATCAATTTTCTTTACCTAAATATTTTCATAATTTCTTTAATTCTTATCATCATTCATACTCAACAAGAAGGAGGTATGATTTCCATATCCCCTTCTGTAGAACCACTGTTGCTAAATTTTCATTCATGCATCAGGGTGTTGAGCTGTGGAACAGTTTAAAACAATTAGAAAATCTATAAAGTTTGTTTAAACTTTCTTTTGAATACAGAGAATGTTGTACATGATTCACCTAACACATTTTTATTTTTTTTTAATTTATCATTTTAATATTTTTTGACAATTTAAATTTATTTAATATAAACTATTATCTTTTGCTTTGGTATGTAATTGTGTGTGTTTAAAGTAAGATTTAGCTTATGTATAAAGCTTTTATGATTTTTTTCTTTATTTTCTAGAAGGGGGGGAGGGCGCACTGGGACGCCATGTCATCTGGACCAGAGAGGACAAGGATAGCCCAAGTTGTTATCAACGCTCCGTTCAGAAGCCTGCATCACTGATGGTATGGGGTTGCATGAGTGCTTGTGGCATGGGCAGCTTGCATGTCTGGAAAGGCACCGTTAATGCAGAGAACTGTTAAAGACGTGAGCTGGCTTCAGGCCACCGGATCCGGAAACCCCCTCCAGCCCTCGTCCCTACCCCCGGCTCGAACCCTCCTCAGAAGTGGCAACTATACTAATCAATAAATCAAGGAAACGTCAATTAAGTTTTATCGATTATATTAGGAAAAAGGCAGTAAAAGATTACAATTTAGAGTGCTGGACTCTATTCAGTCTGTCACGTTCACAGACCCGGAAGAAGAGCCCCGATGTCTCGTGTCATCATTAATTTATAGAGCCCTAGACTTCGCCCTTCACAGAAGGGGGAGCTCAACCAGTCAGTGTATGAGGGGGCGGGACTAAGTGTGGTCTTATGTGGACTGAAGTGTTAGGAAAAATATGAAACGGCGCTTCAAAGCCTTTCTAGTGATGTGGCAAGCTGATTAAACTATTTCTTGACAGATATTGAATTATCAGGGAGACTCTCTTAAGAGTTTGCTGGCCCAATTTAACCCAGTCAGAACCGGGTCATAATTTCATTATAATCCCATCTCTGAGCAGATCAAAAGATATTTCCTATTTAGACTGGTCTTATGTTAACAACTCCCCCTGGGCGAGAGTCCCCAAAGGGGTTCTCTCGCATAAAAACTCCCAGTCCAATACCGCCAGATAAGCAAGCAATTAATCACTTTCCTCTGGTTGAATGTGAACTACTCCTTATATGTTGGCGGGAGATGCCTACAGGCTACAGCGTGCGA